ATAAACATTGCGTTGAACCAAACAGTGGCCTGTCTAGTGTTGTTTGGGCCTAAAATATGTGATAATACAATGAGTTTGATTGATTAGAAGTGCTAGAGATGCATGAAGAGTGTTTAGAAGTGTGTAGAAAGACTTGCTGAAATATGGTCCGAAATTAGATAAGAACCCACAAACATGTCTTGAAACAGTAAATGGATTGTCTAATTTTGTTTGGGGTTGAAATATACTAGAATATAATGAATTTGATTGATTATAAGTCCTAGAGATGCATGAAGAGTGTTTAGAAGTGTGGAGAAATACTTGTTGAAATGTTGTCCCATATAAGCTTAGAACTCAGAAACATTGCGTTGAACCACTAAATGGCTTGTCTAGTGTTGTTTAATTTTAGAATATGTTAGTATACAGTGAATTTGATTGATTACAAGTGCTAGAAATGCATGAATAGTGTTTAGAAATGAGTAGAAAGACTTGCTGAAATTTGGTCCGAAAAGGGCTTAGAACCCACAAACATTGCTTTGAAGAATTAAATGGCTTATCTAGTGTTGCTTAGGGTTAGAATATGTTAGAATACAATAAATATAATTGATTAAAAGTGCTAGAGATGCATAGAGAGTGTTTAGAACTTTGGAGAAACACTTATTGAAATTTGGTCCCAAATGGGCTAAGAACTCATAAACATTGCGTTGAACCACTAAATAGCTTGTCTAGTGTTGTTTAAGGTTAGAATATGTTAGAATACAATGAATTTAATGGTTTACCAGTGCTAGAGATGCATGAAGAGTGTTTAGAAGTGAGTAGAAAGACTTGCTGAAATTTGGTCCGAAAAGGGCTACGAACCCACAAACATTGGTTTGAAGCATTAAATGGCTTATCTAGTGTTACTTTGGGTTAGTATATGATAGAATACAATAAATTGGATTGATTAAAAGTGCTAGAGATACATGAAGAGTGTTTAGAAGTGTGGAGAAATACTTGTTGAAATTTGGTCCCAGATAGGCAAAGAACTCCTTTACATTGCGATGAACCACTAAATGGCTTGTCTAGTGTTTTTTTAAGGTTAGAATATGTTAGAATACAATTAATTTGATTGATTACAAGTGTTATAGATGCATGAAGAGTGTTTAGAAGTGAGTAGAAAGACTTGCATAAATTTAGTCCGAAAAAGGCTTAGAACCCACAAACATTGCTTTGAAGCATTAGATGGCTTATCTAGTGTTGCTTTGGGTTAGAATATGTTAGAATACATTAAATTTAATTGATTAAAAGTGCTAGAGATGCATAGAGAGTGTTTAGAAGTGTGGAGAAAGACTTGTTGAAATTTGGTCCCAAATGGGGTAAGAACTCATAACATTGCGTTGAACAACTAAATAGCTTGTCTAGTGTTGTTTAAGGTTAGAATATGTTTGAA